TGAGAGAGAGAGAGAGAGAGAGAGAGAGAGAGAGAGAGAGAGAGAGAGAGAGAGAGAGAAAAGATAGTGCTAGAAAGGCAGAGTCAAACTATTCTCCGGGTTGGATGCTCTGTCAGAGCTTCTAATCCAAAGTGGTGGTGACTGGGTCCAAGACTTGGATCCAACAGAGGACCAAGTCTTTGAGAATCCATAGTGAGAATATGGTGGCAGGGAACATAAATACACAAGGTTGGAAGAAGTGGGGAGTTTGAGCAAGGAGAAAAAAAAAAAAAAAAAAGGGGCCTCCACAGGATTCAAAAAAGGCCCACTGCAGGATTCAAGTATCCCATGGTGGCGAGTAGAGACTGTCCCAAAGTCAACTCGTAGTCGTTGTTGGTGGACTTTTTTGGCAGGTCTTCAGAAAAACGAAGGTTTCTATGATGAGGCCATCAACAACATTGTCTTCCGTCTGCAACTGTGAGTGGGGAGAGAGAGGAGAAAAGAGAAAAAGTGTGAGTGCTGTGTTGCAGTATAATGTACGCTGCTCTCCTAATCCTGTTATCTTTAACCCCCGAGCTCCTTCCACCTACTCCCTCCTCTCCCACTCCTCTCCCGAAGGAAACCTGAGACGCTGGGACTCGTTTCATTAATGATTGACACACCCTGCAGCCCGACACACACACTTTGCCGCCATTGACATACGTAGGAGGGCCAGACCGATAAGAGGGATGTAGAGCAGAGAAGCGGTTACATATCTGTGTATGCGACGAGTTTCACTGCGAGTACTAACCGTGGCAACCTCGCTCTCATTACCTTTCGTTAACTTCCCAGGTAACTCACCTGGGCTCGCACGCACTCTGCTCTTTCCAGGTGACTCATTTATTATTTAGGCCGGGGCCTGTGAGCGCTGAGAGGAAGGTCAACTAGAGGCACTCAGTGAGACAGAGAGAGTGACTGACAAGACGGTAGTCCTGGGCCACAGAGCCGCTGCAGTCAAGCAGCCAAATACCTGAGAAGGTGGGCAAACCACAGAGTGGTTCATAATAACCAGGTTGCAGTTACATGGTTCCTCTTTGGTTTATTTCCCAATGAGGTGAAAGCAGCTATAAGATTGTTTTCGAAACTACGTTTGTGTTATTCAAAGATTCTTTCTCAACAAATGAAGTTGGTTGGACTGGTGGTGGTAAAATCAGTTACTAATGGTTTATAGACCAGTTATTAACCATGATTAAGAAGACACTTTTGGGTTGTATGGTTGAGAAAATCCCCTCTGGCTGGTGTTTATCCTTTCTTTTAGGTAATAATGGTGTTATTAATCTAGTCATATATGTTTGCCATAGCCCTTAAAAGATACAGCAAGTGTCCTGCTGGACGAGGATGAACGGGACTTTTCACAATCCAGCAACCACAAAACCTCCTCCTATTGATGGCTTATAACTGATTTATAAAGCAGTATAGGAGTTATTAACCATGAATAAAACCAGTAGCTACAAATTAGAAATCCTTTGTAAATGGTGACCTATTTAAAAGTAGTACTAAAATATATATGACACTGTTATCACTTGAGGAATAACCTAGAATATCTGCAACATAACTACCGAGTATTATAAACTACGTCTGGAACAGAAGGCTGTATCAGTCAGGGTTTCCATTCGGCCAACTAAAATCTCAACAGTTGTTGCTTTGAGGACAGATTTGTTCCTTCAGACTATTTTTAGATACCCAACCTCTCACCCTTTGTCACACGCTACAATATAAGGATTTCCTTAGATTGAGGTAATAAGCTTAACTCTCTCCCTTAGACTTCAGGCCCCGACACGGATCATTCATTCAAACAATACACACATGAACTTGGACTTGGACTGCACCGGATCAAGACACGCTAGGTTCATTTATAACGCCAATAATTCACGGGGGGGGATGTCTTCCTCCTAAAAACACGGTGTCCAACGTCCATGTTCTTGTTAAAAGGTTAACAGGAAAAAAAGAAACCGTTAAGGAACAATAATGGCGAGGCCTAGGAGCCTAATCTATTTTGGGTGTTTTCCACCACAGGAACAAACGGGAACATGTTTTGTGGCATTTTAAGGAGCTTTAAAGGGAGAAAGGATTGGAGAAATAGGGAAAATCCTTGCAGGAACTTAACTGCTGTATTAGTGGGTTAATACCTGACACAATCTGAAAGATCAGCGGAATAAAGATCCCAATCTTAAACATTAGTATTGTGTCGCTCACAAATGAGTCATTTTTGAAAGAATTAATACACATAAGGCTGCATTTGACTCAAATTCCAGATGACTCGGACATTATTAGTATAACAAAAATGTGTTTTATTAGAGTTCATGTTAAATGCAGTGGTGGAAAATAAAGGGCAATCTGTATCTTAATAATAAGGCTGCTAAATTATCTGCGCTTTTGTTGATTTGTGCAAATCAGAAGCTTCAATAAATGTTTATATTTTTGCAAAACACGACTCTTCCCATGTTCATATTGTTTGAATTCTGTTAGATGTGAATGAATAAACTCATTCCAAACTCACAGTTATGTATAAAGCAGCTTGCAGCCTACAGTTCGGGCCACACACTGAGCAGCATTGTCTCCATCCATTTTGCTTTTAGCACCAATCGCTGAGCAAGTAATCATGACAATTAAAACTGTGTTTACTGCATTTCCACCCTGACCCACAGCACTACGCCTCACCCGACTGCAGGATCTGTGCAGACCTGGTCGTGCTTTGCCTCTTACACTGTGCAACTTACTGTACTTTAAAATCCAAGACCTGTGAAGTGATCATATAGCTTTTTCAAGGATATCAATGGTTGATTAATTGATATGCTATAAGTGACACAGCTGCTCCGATTCTCCCACGCATTACGTGTGTACATGCGCACACACACACACACACACACACACACTCTCTCCTGATAAGCCGTCTTGGCAGAGCGAGCTAGACAACTGAAATCTCAGGCCAAAGCCAATCAGTGCAGGGTATCGAGGGAGTGGAGCTGAAACAGAGACTCGGACGGTACGATGTTTTCTGGCTACTCCAGGTGCACAAACACGAAAGACACATCGTGTTCCACCAAGAACACAGATCCAAAAAAAAAATATCATTATTTCCTGTTTAACGATTAACACCACCCAATCCTACAATCCAAGCATCCTTATCATCGTCACGGTAGTACACTCTGCTTACAGGTAGTAGAGAGAAGTATATCACTGAAACAGGACTCTTCTATTATCTAAATATCAACCACAAACTTTTGTATTGATCCAACTTGATTCAGATTCCACAGGCTGTAGCACAGAATTTTCCCCGTCAAACAAATGCGAACAAAACAAATATTACCTGAACGTATTATCGAATACTTTCTCAATGCTTTCGGCTATGTTTATGGTAATGATGCATCTCACCATAGCTGAGCTGAAGAGAATGAAAAGGGGGTCGATTTTAAGGGAAAATATGGCAGATTTTGTGTTTTATAGTCGAAAACAAATGTATTAAATAAATGTATAAAAATGGAAACAAATGGCTGGGCATGGGAGCCTCAGTCACCACTCCTCCTTTCTGGGCTCTGTCTGTGTTTAACCAATACTTAACACAAGTGTTTGCATCAAGCGTGCCATGTGTTCACATTTCTAAATAGAATCCCTCTTAACTATAACCTTTCAGTTCAGTAAATGCGTTTTAAAACCTGAAAGTGGAGAGAAGTCTAAAAGTAGCCCTGTGGGGTGGGAGCTGTGGGCCATCATCATTTGGAAGGAACTAAACAAAGTAAAAGCCAGAGTGTGTTGAGAAAGAGAACGCTTCGAGATCCTCTCAGCAGGAGATTGTTGCGTTGGTCTGACGGACGAGCAGCTCAGTGAGTCTCAGCCTGCTGTCTCTCACTGACCACACAGACATTAGGTCGCTGTCAAAGCTATAGAGAACACAATGTCATGTAGGGCTGAATGATTTCGGAAAGAATATCTAATTGCGACTGACATTGCGATATTAGAGGGAATGTATATTTAAAAGAATGTGGTTTGGTTTTTGCGGTGATTTTCTTACGTCTTTAAATCTGATGTGTAGTCCAAGACATCTCTGAAGCGCGACAATATTCAATTTAAAATGGTATGTTGACACACGTTTTTTTGCCTTTAACAACTATTGTGCTCTCCTGCGGTTTGAAAATTGCCTCCGCCTATATTGCGAGATTTCATTTTGATTAATTGTGCAGCCCTAATGTTCCAGCACAGCAGTGATTTAAATTACATTTTTCAACATCAGGTTTTAAAGTCAGATGTTCAGAATCAAAAAGTTAAGAGTTTATTTTTTATAAATATGGAATTTGTTATGCAAATATTCAACAAACAAACTCAGAGAAATAGCTAATCCTGCACCAACAAGTTTATTATTAACAAAACTAACTAACCTACCTTATATACATAAATGGTTACTTTGGGTAAAATTGGATACAAATATGGATTCAATATTGAATGGAAACAGTAAAAATGAACAGCAACTTTTCTGTAATGTTGTGATCTTACCTCAGTCTGTATCCTAACAGGTCGATTGAGAACGTGTGGTCTGCTACCAGCGCGTGCAGCGACCTTAACTTAAGCTAGCGTCTCATTGGTCTCAGTTGGTTTTATAAATGAAGCCCCGGCATACATGCAGAATGGGGAATTTGTTGGTGGGTAAAGTGTGTAACAGCCTTGTGATTCTCTGAGTCAGGCAGAGCCCAGACAGACACGGTGAGATCACTGATATTTTACACACTCTGGCATGGCAGCACACACACACACACACACACACTAAGAAATACAACTAAACATTTTGTGTGTTTGGAAAACTGTCCCTGCATCAATCTGACATTTGTCTACTTTTTTCCATGTAATGACCTAACAGGAAGGGCTGTCTACAGCTGCTGAGGAACATACACTTTCATTCAACAGCTGGAATGAATAGACCAGTATGAACACACACACACACACACAAACTGAAGCTCATCCATCCATCGGGAGGGTGGTATACCTAAGAGTAAAAGCTTACATGAACACACACACAGCTAAACCTCCTGCTCAGCCTTAAATCTGGCTCCACTGGAAATAGGCCATCAGCGCTATGTGCATCATTCATGGCTTGCCATCATGGAATGACATCGCTCAGCTGTTGTGTACGATTTGATGTGACCGGCGGGACCTTCCTGTTGGTTGGAACAAACAATGCTGAGTCAATGCAGCTTGATGATTCGGGAACGATCCCGCCTGCCATCTGAACCAATGCCAGGTGACCCAGACTGCGTGCCTAATAATCAGAAAAGGTTGTTTTTAACAGTTAAAAATAAAGGAAGTGGCGCTTGTATTATTAGCTGTTGGTGGAATGAAGCATTTGAAGAAGACACATTGGGCTCTGGGGCGTTTTTTTTTTACTACTTTCTGACATTTTATAGACTAAACTGTGAATCAATTAATTAAAAAAAAAAAAAAAAAAAAAAAAAAAAAAAAAAAAAAGAAAAGTTGCAACCCACAAGGGAAGGAAAAAAGAGGGCTTCCTTTATTTATT